GCAATTCATGTTTACGTGTTCTAATGACCACAAGAGCAATCCTACAGTTCTGACAATTTGGGGTATAATTTTCTGTAGTATAACTTTCATTTTTTGTATTGCATTTTGAACAGTATGTTATGCCCTAATATACATGAAGTCTCAAATGGGTGATATGCATTTGTATCCATTTCTCGAGTCAATAATTAGTGGAATAACCTTTCCCTGCAATTACAGATACTAGTCTTTAGGGATAGGTCTCGACCATCTTTTCACACCTAGAGACTAAAAGTTTTGCATATTTTTGCTCGCAAAACTTCAAGCTCAGTCAGAATGACTTATTTTCTCCAGATAAACAGCCGGTTCCTCTGTTTAGACTACAAACAGAGCTCAACATTGCATTCCCTTTAGTTTTCTCTGATCTTTAGTGGAGACTGGAATGAAACGCGTCATTTCTACCGAAAGTTTGGGATGAGCTTCTGAACCAGAGGCGCTCCAAAGCGTCTGGTCTATAACTCTTCCACATGCTGTCAGCTCCCAGTCAGAAAGACACATTTAGTTCAGAGTCCATGATATTCAGAAATAATTTTTTTATTGATTAATTTTAGTTGCCTCTGCAATGAAATCTTTGTGTAAAGTCTATAATGTCTTGTTTGGACTTTAACTTGGTCTTTGAGGAGTTTTACTCTTTATTATAATCATACTATTGAAGATCTTGCCGTATGTTTAGGTTTATTCTGATGGAAGGTAAATCACCACCACGGCCTCAGATCTTGTTTTACTTACAGGCCTGCCATGTATTTAGCTTCATCCATCCACTCCTCAAGAAAAATAATAGTAACAGCATGCAACAACCACTACTACAGTGGAGACAGGGCAATATTCCAAGTTGTTTGTCCCTGTCACAAAATGTTTAGCCAAATACCCAAAAAAGGTCAAGCGCATTATTTTTTAATAACCTTGATGTGAAGGTCTTGCTCTTCCTGGTGCTGTTTGTTTTCTAATGTTCACATTACAATTACATGCTCAATTCCCATCTCATAAAATCTTAATTTAAAAAAAAATTGCATTCGTAATAAAACACAAGTGCGCCTTTTCTGAAAGTTCCAAAGGCCATGCCCATGAAAATACAACGTCTGAGCTATTTTTCAGAAGCTCAGACATTTTTTAAGCTACTGTTGTCAAAGTCAAGGAAGTTAATAAATACAATTATTTACTTTTGGAATTAAACATGGCTTGAACAGTCATGTCCTGTCTTTCATGTCAGAAAGCTAAACCCTCTTCCAAAGCTTACAACATGAACGTTTCTGGCTTTAAAAGTGAAAACAAAACCAAGACGTGATAATTTGTCATATCAAACAGTCTATTTTTTTTGCCCTTCCCCCTGCCTCAAATTTTTCTTTCATCTCTCTCTCATTACTCGCATAATTCTGTTACCTAGCACCAAGATGAGACATCAATTCCTCTGCTGCTGAGAATTGCAAATTAGCTTTGAGTTAGCTCTGGAGGAGATGGGAGGAGACGGGAGTGGGAGGAGGAGGAGAGATAAGCTGATGAGTATGTTTGAAATTAGCCCTTTCCCACAGAGGGAGAGAAACAATGCTGGGAAATTTGAGAGAGTTTCGGTGACAAATTAGAGAGTTTTAATGTCATGAGCGACGACTTGCACCAGAGCAGCATGCTGTGCTGACTCCTTTCCAGTGTGATTGGGGTCTAGCAGAGCACTCCCCAGTCAGAAATTTTTTTTTACATACAGTGGAGCTTCAAACTGGTTTCCCAAGGTCAATGGAAAGGAAAGGAACATGTCATCCTAACCCTGCCCTCCACCCCCACACTCTTATTTTTTTTTCTTGTTGTATTCCCTTGCAATAGTTTTTTCCTCACAATAATTTAGCAATGTCACCCTGATCCATGTTGCAGTTATGGTGATAAAATATGTTAATTTTAAAAAGTATTTACTGATCCTCAGTAAATATATCTAAATCTTCCACATAAGTTTGTGGCGTGTTTATGTCCTAGAGAAAAAGATATTATAAAACTTCAGATATTTCAGATATGATGTGTGAACATAAATGTAAAGCTTAACAAAAACCTTAAATTGTAGCAGGAAGACATTCGGTATTTGAGGTGCCACATGAACTGACAAGTAAATATATTATTTTTCTATGAGAATGCAAAGATTTTTTTTGCGAGGGAGCACAAAATCCTTGTAATGGAAGGCAAAATTATTGTGAAGGAATGCAAGAAGAAAAAATATTCTGTGTCCCCTAGAAGGTTTCTGAAGGAATGAGCTCAACAAAAAGGAAATGAAAACCAACATGCCTGATATTTACAAAGAAGTAATATTATATATTTAAAAAAAGTGTCTTGTTTAATCCACTAAAGTAAAGTAAGGCTGACCTAAATTAAATATTAAATGTGTTAAGAACACCTTCAAAAACATCACACCCCTCACAGCACATTTTGTCAAACCCCACCTGCTTTTGATATGAGGAATTTCCCTCATTCTTAACCAACAAAGGCCAGACAGACAGGGACAGATTAAATTTCCAAGCATAAATAAATATTGTGAAAAGGTCACCTTTCCATCTGTTATTTGTGCAACCTCTAAAAGTAATTACACACAGAATGGTGTCAGCAAAGCTGTTTGTGCACTTCTGTTGTCTAAACAGCATATCTCCCAGGGCTCATTTCATATACACCTTTCAACTGTGAAACAGTAAACAAACCCTGTAATATATGCAAATTTTGATTGGTAGCACCCATAAAAACAAACTTACTGTCATTCATCATAAATTTGTAAAAAAAAAATATATATATATATATGAAGTGCTTTCTTTAAAAATTTTATTCTAAGGAGCAGGTTAGTTTTTACTTATATTTTAATATATTTTTTGTTGTATATCCAGAGATCCTATATGATCAGCTCTTAGCACATGTAAAAACATGCACCACTATAATAAGGCAGGAATATTACTCAAATGCATAAGCAGTAATGCAAGCTTTGTAAATAACATAATAGGCCATGTATTCCCTGCAGCACAGCATTGCGTGCTTTCCTCCTTTTAGGAGAGGATAGAAAAAGAGGTCAAACGTGACATCAGGAGAAAGCGAGTGACGGCACCGAAGCAACACACTGTACTTTGAGGAGAGAGAGAGAGAGAGAACGAGAGAGCGAACTTTCTCGTGGGACTGATTTTAAAGGCCAAGTGGTTTTCTTAGTTGTCTAACTTGAGATTCAAATTACACCAGCTTTTCTGACAGGCCGATCTTTTCCTCAAGAATTACATTACATACTTTTTTATATTTTTTCTGCCAAAAAAGGAACTGATATGTCAACAGCAGATGCCAGAAAGAAAATGGGATTTTATTCAGCAAAGAGTATGTAGATGTTAAAACTCTTGAGAATCATTATAATTAGGCCCTCAACAGAGCCAGCAGTGGATTTTACAAACATGGACCACATTTACCACTTTACCAATTTGAAGAAAATATATGTATTTGATAAAAATATATAATGGGTACAAATTTATGTGTTCCAATCCCCCCACTCGTTTTTTTAGGTTTGGTTTAAGAATGCCATAATTTGTTTAAGAATGGGTATGAGTGCTTGAATTTAATGAATCAGTGTTTCTGTCACAGGTGTATTCTTCACTGAATGTTACTTGTAAACTGAAAATGATTGGAGAAAGAAACATAACCTTGAAAAAGTACTGTAAATGTAATCTAAATGTAGTCCAGCCACCCCATGAATGCCAGTAAAGCAATAATAAGACCTGGGAGTATTTTTAAGCCTTCTTTTGTGGCACCCAATTGCAAAGAAGGTGCAGTATTCTTCCTTTTAACCATCCTCATTAAAATTCATCAGAATTACACGTTACATCCCTAACATAGATAAAAACGTAGAGAGTGTGTGTGTATGTGTGTACACTTTCTAGCAGCAATAAAAAGTTGAAATATCCACTCTGGGGTTGTGTGGTAGTGTCTTGACACCCCAGGATTACAGTTTTAAAACCTGGGCAATCTGTACCAGAGTCTAATCTGAAGCAGCTTGTCGTAAACTCTTTGTTGGCCTCACAGACCGGCAAGCACGATGCTAATAACATCAGTGTTGTTAAAATTTACTGTGTTTCTACTCACCAGAGACAGATCCCTCATTGATCAGAGTAAATCAACTCTCACCAAACAGTAAAAACATCATCTCAAAGTGATGCAGCTAATGATCTGCCTCAGCTGACGAGACCCACCGTCTCAAAGGCTGCTACTGCTCCTCCTGCTGTATCGAAGCCACATTGTCTGTCTCCTTCCTCCCCCATGGCCTCCTCACACTTCATCTAATAATGGGAATTTACTGCAGGTCTTTTTTTTTCTTGCTCACTTGGCGAGATAAACAGCCTGATGAATCAGGGGTAATGCACAGGCTTACGGGCACAGACAGCACGCAGCCCACAGTAAATATCTGCAGACAGGATCGGATTTCAGCATTAGCAGTGAGGAGATGCATTTATTTGCCTCTCACCAGACTCGTAACAGCACTGAGGCTCAATTACCACGTCTGAGAGGTGCAGATAATACATGCAAACGGCACCACTCCCAACCATTACCAGCACATATATACAGTTTGCTTTTCACCCTGTCTGTCTGAACTGCACTTCATTGAACAATGTTTGTAACATCTATAGTTGAGTGATTATTTTTTTAATGAGGTGTGGGTGTGCTGTATGTTTGCCTCTTTGTGTGGTTTTGAATGTTTTTCCTACTGTTACTTCCAGCCACTATACATAATAAATTGTGGCTGTATAACACTGAATTCTGAAACATTATTTCTTTGAATCTTTTGTTTACTTTTATTGACCATTAAGAATGTATTAGGGCTTTGAAGATGAAGGTCAAGAAGTTGTCTGAAAACATAATGTTCTAGATGAACTTCCCAGGTACTTACTTAATTATCATAATTTACTACAACAAATTTACTACAAGAATTTATTGATTGCATTCACCTTTACTTTATCGAATTACAGTAAATAAAATTACAACAAGACAAACTGTGATGGAATGGCAACACAAGACGGATGGATAAAACTGGAAGATATGGACAAAACAGGTACATCTCAATAATCCCACAAGACTTTAAGGTGAACATTTGTTGATGATTGAACTTAATTAAATTTGGTTCTGAAAGGAAATCTAAGAAAGCATAAAGTTCAATATTTACAAAAATGGATTCAAATGAAAATAGGCTACCATTTAAAATGTCACTCAAACACCGCTTCATTTGGATAATACATACAGACAAATCAAACTAATCTGGACACATTTTGTTTGCATAAAACTCTTCCAAACATTAGGTGAAATGATAAGTAATGTGTATTTGGGTTTTTTTCTTGAACTGAAGGAAGAAGCATTCATCTCCCCTGCAAAGATGTGAATGTGCAAAGTGTGCAACAACCTCAGCAGTCAATGCGCAAACATCTGCATTAAGTAGGTAAGATTTGTTATAAAAGTGCCTCTGTTTTCATCACCTATTCCGTCTCTAAAACTTCTCCGTTAGGAATCAGAATGTGTTTGTGTATAACTGCGGATCTATCTGATTCAAATTCAAATAGCAAGAAGTTTGATTTAAGTCTTCATAAAAATTGTATTAAGCAACTTTTCTTCACTGTTACTGAGAGTTTATTTGGTTGTTTCATTCTGTGAAAAGGCCTTGCCAAGCCAATATCTTAGTCACAATGCAGCATTTGCCGCCTGGGTACATTGTCAGCTCCCTCCCCCTCCTTTGCCCACTGGATGTCAGCCCTGAATTGTGTTTTGATGTTTCCTCAGACCTACAATTGAGCTCTATTCTCAGCAGCCAAAACAGACATTTGTCAATTCATATGCATCAGGGCACTTTTTTACCCCCCACCCACTCATCTCCTGCTACTTCCTACCTCAGCTGTGTCTTCCTTCATTTTAACTCTGCTGCACTCAGTAACTGCAATCCAGTGTGATGATTTCAGTGACCATGAGCCCCCCTGCTGCGAGCAGTGTCACATGTGATTACCATTATTTATAAAACTCACTCAGGCTCGGTTGCGCAGGCGGCCTCTCTCGGCCCCTCGTCCGTACACACTACAGTCAATATTTGCACGCAATTCTGAACTGTTGAGACGTTCCATGGTGGTGAGAGCCTCCATTACATGAAATATTCAGGGCGCATGGAGACTCCCATGAGGCGCAGCGCAGGGTTTTTACTCCGATTTGATTATACGACATGATTTTTTCATGAGCTATGACAGTCCTGTTGAATTAGAGTCAGCTCTGAATCTTTGTGATAGTCACGGAAGCTAGAGAAGAGAAGGAGCAGGCTGTCCTCTTCCCTGACTCTGTCATTAACTCTGAGTCTGACGAACAGGGAGAACACACTTTGCCAGATGCAGAGGATCCCTGTTTAAACACACAGGCTACATTACATATGGTCCATAGGCTACATTACATATGGACCTGTTCTGGCCATCATTCCTGTGTCATGGAGATAATAGACCATAGTTTCTCTACATAATAATTACTACAAAGTCCCAATGTTTTGTTGATTTTGGAAATGATCCCATTATCTTTGATCAGAAACTGTTTCTTATAAATGTTTTCTGATTATGTACGTAAAAAATATGTATATTTTATAAAATTACTTTTAAAAAACAACATAAATAGCTAAGATTTTTTTATGTACACTAACTCTCCTTTATAAATTAGTTATGCAAATTATGCATGAAAGTTTTGATTGGAATAATGTTTATGAATGCATAATAACATTATGCTTATAAATCAAACAAATTCGCAAAAACGAGAAAAATACAGCGATTTAGAAATAAAATAAAGTGCTATGTTTTAAAATGCATTTATAAACATGAATACATATTTTTACTATGCTGTGATGTGTACATTTTATAAATACAATTAATTAGAATAAGTGTTTTAAAATAAGTAAATATAAGTTAATTAAAAATGTAAAAGCAAAAAATATTTATCTAAAAACGTACTTGAAAATACACAAACATAGAGGCAGATAAATGAAGCAATTAGCCTTTATTATTATAATAACAAATAAACTTATGATCATAATGTATCTCTGAATGTAAACTGTAACTTTTTACCATGCTTTTCTAATACAATCCTGTTTATCTATTGCAGTTTACTACAAGCACTGCATCACAAATTTTCGCTTTGCAATCATCTGTGGATATCCATTGACTTTTCCTTTCGTGAGAACATTAATAAAAGTTAAGAAAGGATATGAAGAACTAAGTGTTCAGCTTGAAACTGAGAATAACTCAGAAGACATGGAAGAAGGTGAGGAGTGGAGAAAAAAAGCAGCAAAAAGTAAAGAATCCAACAATAACCCTAACAGTTCTGCTGTTATGAGCATGGGAATTATCATTAAAGGCATGTAATGGCTGAATCCGTCATGCTACCACACAAAAACAGTCGATGTTTAAACGACGCGTGAGTCACTGCTCTGTGGTGATCAGAGGGCTAAACAGAAAAGCCACACACAAACCAAAACCATACTACTATAAGGTAACTGTTTTCAGACAATAAATAAACGCATTGAAACCCCATATTTGTCTTGTGAGAGATGTTTTTATGCAAGATTTTTTTTATTTTATTTTGCAAATTAAATAATATTTGTGTTTAATCTAAAACTAAAAAGATTAGGTAGAAATAATAGCTTCTTTTTATATGAATTATTTCTTTTTAAAAAAACAGTTTTGGTAAAATAATGAAACCTTAATAATTTTGAGCACAAAAATAAAAATTTGGTCTTTGTCCAATAAACATTCCCCGTATTATAAACTTGGTGGGCTGCCACTTGTCTTGTGCCATGCTGAGCGTTGTTTTTTTTTAACTGTTTTTGTTATGCACCAGTAACCATGATAGCAAAGACTGGCTCTACAGGTGATGTACTGAACGTAGACTGTGTTTCACGCAAAACAGGCCATGTACCAGCATTTATATGATCCTTCTGTGTTTTGTTGTGCAGTCCACACAAGCACATTTTTAGAGATTTGACTTAAGCAACACTAATGTGAGCACATAAATCTTTGAGAATATAAAATAATGTGCACTTACTCAATATACATTATGTTAGTTCTGGGTGTGGTTTATTTCCATACATTTTCACAAGCAGATAATCAGTCAGGTGACTTGAATTTCACACTTGTAAAACAAAAACATTACTAAACAAAATGAACAACCAAGAAGACTTGAAAGAAGAAATGCTTTATTTTTGTATTTAGCAAAGCATACAAATATTTCACTTATTACTGTCCACTTTAGATTTTTCTTAATTTACTTGACTTTTAAATGTGACTAGCATACATTGCTTTGAGATCCACTGGCAGATTAAAAAAAAAATAATTATTCTAATTGCATTTTTTTCCTACTTGTCAATTATGTCTTCCAGTAACATCATGACTTTTAAATTTTTAAGTACCAGAACATGGGGGGCTGCTGATGAATTTCCATAGCACCTAAATTCAAGATTAGCGAGTTTTCTCGGGGAAACCCTGAACTCTATTCAATGTGTTTTGATCATGAATTGTTTCTTTTTCTATATTTGAAGAAATCTTAATCATTTCCCCCGACATTTCTTGAATTTGATTTGTTTGTATTATATTTCAATAATTTTCAGTGATTATTTTACAAATCACATCTTTCGAAGAATTTGTAAGACATTTAAGGGGGGATGGCAGAGCTCTTCTCTGATAAGTTTTCACTTTGCTGTTCTGATGCTTGATGAAGAGAGATGTGATATTTTCACACACTGGCTGCTTCTTACCAGAACAGCCAAGGTCATCTCAACACTTGCCTTTGGTCCACTGCACTAGATGATTGTCAGCTGTATCCAGCATTGTCGATTTGGCCTTTTGATTTTGTCTCTCTTACACACACATTCACGCACGTACACACTTGGTGAGAAAATATTGGCTTCTGGCCTTAACAGGCTAAATCTTTGCTTCCCAGACACAGACTTGGTTGTGTGTGACCCAGCTTGAAACAATGATTGGTTAGGGGCCACCAGTGTGCACAGAAGGACGGCAGTGAAGGTACATCTCTAACACGCTCTACCACATCTGTCTTTGAGAAAATTCCCCATTCGGTACTGCTAACTTCATAACTACACTCTCTGGACATCATATTTTCCATAATGGCCTTCATCAAGCACACAAAGCAAGCATTACTTGACTCTATTTCAAAATATTATCTTGAAAATTAGCCTTAGACAATCACAACATATTTCCACACAGACTGGATCACTTAAATGCCTGTGAATTTGTGTAAGCTGGACATAAATTTAAGATGAGCACAAATTGAATTACTAACTAAACTCTCACTAATCACACTCCATGATAAGCAGTCAGTATTATAGATTGTGACACTTTTCTAAAAACTGAGTTTTTTTAATATATGCAATTATTTAGCACCTCATGACTAAAGGTGAGCTACATGTTATGAAAATGTTTGCTTGACTGTCTTGTGAAAAGTGAAAGAAAACGTTATCAACTCCCAGGGACAGAATGTTCATTCGTCATCATGTCTCTGTTTTGTGAAGTTCACCAGGCCCTGCTGTGCCAAAACACCCACACTGGGAAAGTGCTCTCTGGCTCTCAAGCTTCCTCATTTTCCATCTGACTGAATTATAGTCACTATGACTAAACACCTAACTTAAGTAAGTAAATATTAAGGTCTTTGTCCATGCACTTACACATGGAGTAAAAAGAAAACAATTCTCGCCGTCTTCTACAAGCATGGAAAAATACAGTTTCACTTAGTGGTCTCTACAATAGATACCATCCAATTCAGCACCCTGAGCTCCATCTGGGTGAATAAAAAAGAAAGCAAAATATCTCTCCTTACAAGAATGTTCCAGATGTCAATAACAAAGTTTTAGTCGCATGACGGTAAAACACATTTTCATCAAAACTCTGTCGGATCACTGCAACCGAACCTTTATTATTATTCCATATTCCCACCTTTATTTTTCACATAATTAATTTTACAACATTTGGTATTATGTAGTCAAATTAATCTGCCCTACATCTATATGACCAAGTTCACACATAGTCACACTTATTATTTAAAATATTGTTAATGTACTAATGGCAATTCTGAGTCTAGCTGTATTTCATTGGTTCAAAATATTTTTGGACATTTATTAAATTTTGGGTAAAATTTAAAAAAAAAAAGATTTTTATGATCTCCTCTGTTCACTTCTGTCCCTCGTGCTCAGTTTATGTCTTGGCAAAAACAGATGGAGCTCTGCTTGGAAATCCTGACTCTATGTTATCCGTAATACTTCCCTCTTGATACATTTGGTGGAAGATCAAATGTTGCAAATGGAATGGAATAAATTGCATTTATGATAACAAGACACTTTCTCAGATATCAGATTATAGCGTGACTAATTAGAAATTGATTGTTGTTACATAAAAGTCTTTCAT